TTTCTTTCTTTCTTTCTTTCTTTCTTTCTTTCTTTCTTTCTTTCTTTTTTCTTCCTTCCTTCCTTCCTTCCTTCCTTCCTTTCTTCCTTTCCTTCTTTCCTTCTTTCCTTTCTTTTTTTTGAGATGTATTTACATGTACAATTGTTTACCTGCAAATATGTATGCATATGTATTGTATGTACCACATGTATGCATGATTCCCCACAGAGGCCAGCAGAGGGCCTTGGCTGCCCTGGACCTGGAGTTATAGGTGGTAGTGAGCCACCATGAGAGACTGGGCGTGTGTAACAGCAGCCACTGCTCTTAACCACTGAGCCACCTCGCCAGCCTAAAACAGTCATTTTCTAAATGACCCAGGTGGTTTCCATCCAAGGACGACCTGAATGTGGGTTTTCTGGGGACGTCTGCTCTTGAACGTCCAGGCTTAGAGGCTGTCCTGATGGACACCACTGGTTAGGCTGCGTGAGGGGAAGTCTTTCTTGCCCGAAGTGAGCCGTGGCGCAGAGCCTCCGGGCAATGCTGCGCGTGGTTGAGATAGGGTCATTGCAGGCCTTACCACTCTCGGTTAGAGGGGCCAAGCTCTTCGCTTTATGTTCCCAGATGAGTGATGTCCAGGCTGGTGGCGCCACCGTCTTCCCTGACTTGGGAGCTGCAATTTGGCCCAAGAAGGTAAGCGTGATTCTTCGGGGTCACGTGCTGAAGCGGGGTTCGAACCTTGTCCGCGTCCCCCAGTGCCAGCCACGGTCAATGTGATACAGCTTAATTCCTTCTCACCTGCACCCTGAACTGTGTTCCCTGCTTCTGCCCAGGGGGAAGGGAGGGTGGGGAAGGCCCTTCAGGGCAGCTGGGTTTCTAAGCTTTTTCCATTTGGAGGCACTTTTGGGGAAACTTCATTTCTAGAGTCCTAGGGCCTCAGCCCTCGAACACAGGAAAGAAGGGACATTTCTGCCAAGTGTTGGGGGGCTCTAGACTCTTTGATCAGGCCCCCATGGCTGATCTTTAGGCCGTGCCCTAACCACTCACCTCTTTGCCAGGGCACAGCTGTATTCTGGTACAACCTCCTTCGGAGCGGGGAAGGCGACTATCGGACAAGACACGCGGCCTGCCCTGTGCTCGTGGGCTGCAAGTGGGGTGAGTGGTGAGGGTGGTGGCCTTGACGGTGCCCTCAGCCTGGCATGTGATGGTTGGCCATAGGTGCAGAGGCAGAAACACTCGCTCACTGCTGTCGGTTCTGCACATCACGAAAGGTTTTCTCTGGTGCTCCTACCACCCAGCCGGGGCTGCCACAGCTGGCTGCCCGCACTCAGAGATGCTCAGAGAGCCGAGGAAGCCCGGGCTGGCATAAGCACCATAGGTCCATTGTGGCCCTCTCGAGCCTGGCCCCCTGGCAAGGGTTTTGGTGGAGCATAGAGAGAACCGGAAGCAGAGAGGGGAGAGGGTGTCTGTCCAAGGCAAGCAAGACGCCTGTGGCTACAACCAGCGTCTTAGGTAACAGGGCAGGGGGCCTGGCTGTCCTTGTCGCTTGAAGGAGGGGAGGCCTGAGGTGAGACTGGAGGCTGGGACTGGACCGCAGAGGGTGAACCTTAGCCTGGAAGCAGCTGTGGGGAGCTAGGAAAGGCATGGACTAGGCTGTGACAGGAAGGGACCACAGGCGTCTTTACAACCCTCGGAGTTGGTGTGTGTACATATGGTGTGTGTGTGGGTATGTGTGTGGGTACACAGGTTCCATGGCACATGTGTGAAGGGCAGGGCAATTTGAATTGGTTCTCTGCTTCCAAGACAGGGTGGGGGGGCTCTGGGCGTTAAGCTCAGACTGTGAGGCCCCCGACACAAGCCATGTCGCCTGCCGTGCGTTACTTTTTTATTCCTTATGAGAGAATCCATGTTTGAGGAACATTCATGCTCCATGCCCGAGACATGGCAGCGACAGCAGCTAGGGTGCCCAGAGCCCTGGGATTCTGTCTTGTAGCTCACAGGGCCCGAGGCTCACGGCCAAGCCCCCCACAGTGCCGACAGGTTCCCCGTCCCTCGTGTCTCCGTTTCTACTTGTCATTATCCCAGCTTCTTGAGACCCTCCACACCTACCCGAGGGGCTCCTGCCTTTGAGGATTTCCACATCCACCCCTTATGTTTGGCCACACGTACATGCCCATGCCGGTATGCTGCCAGTAGCAATTTGCATACACTTATCGAGTCACTGGGAGACTTTTGTACCATTGTCTGTGCGCTCATGTGCTTTCAACAGCTGCTTTCAACAGCACATGAGCGCACAGGTGTCTTGCCCCCCACCCTAGGACAGGGCAGTGGCATCATGGAGGAAGCATTGATTTCGGCTGCTGAACCGATAGGGGGGGATCATCACCTACTTGCTTTCTGTTCACAGTCTCCAATAAATGGTTCCATGAGCGAGGACAGGAGTTCTTGAGGCCTTGTGGAACAACGGAAGTTGATTGACGTCCTTTTCTGCTCCACCCCTCCGTGGCCCCACAGACCGAGTCATCCTCAAGTTCAGCGTGACGGATTCCTTTGTATGTCCCAGCTCCTATCAGGCAGGTCATTGGAGGAGCCAGTGCTTGTCTGAATTTGAGAGTGTGTGTCCTGGGCTGAGTCCTGGGTGACCTGAGCCCCAGAGTATGGCCGGCCTACGCCTGCCCTGGCTCCGAGGGTAGCATTGGCGTGGCTGCAGCAGAGCCTGACTGTAGCACCTAGCACGGTGCCTGCGTACCTCAGATGTTTCAGGTGGAAGATGTTTCAGTGAAACCAAAGTTCTGACGCTGTTTACATGTTTGTTTTTATGACATTTCTATTTGTTGTGGCTTTAACCAAAAAAATAAAATAAAATGTCCTGCCAGAAGCCTCAAATAGCCGTATTGTGGAGTGTTTTGGTTTTATTATTCTGTTTTGTTTCCAGGAACTGGTGCTGGCTCAGATGAAAGCGCTGGCTCAGATGAAAATGCTGGCCACGAAAATGCGGACTTGAATTCTGACTTCCAGTATATACAGAAAGAGCTGGGCCAGGCAGCATGTGCCTGGAATTCCAGAGCTGGGGAGGCGGAGACATGCCTCCCCAGGGGTTGCTGGTTAGGCGGCCTTGCCAAACCGGTGAGCTCCGGGCCCAGTGAGAGAACTTGTTCCAAAAAAAAAAACACGGAGGAGGCTAATAGAGGAAGACGCCTGGAGTGGATGGCCAATTCCATCCACTCCAGGTGTCACACACAAACACGTACACACGTGAAGGTGTACCACACAATCCAGGCGCTCTTACAGCTTTCCCGCCTGTGCATGCATCTCTGCCATGCAGACATTCCGAAGAGCAAAGCTTTAGTCCTGGGCTCTGGAAGTGGTTTTAACGCCTGTGCGTCCGTCCTCCACGTCAGAGTGCACACTGGAGGTGGTAAGCTCGCTCACCTGTTCACCCAGGGAACACGGGAAGAACAGATGTTCACAGCTGGAATGCTGTTAATGCACACTGAGTTGTCCTCGCCCACAGACAAGGGTGCATGCTTGCATGTGTGTGTGTGAGTGAGAGAGGGAGAGCGCTTTTCTGTCAGCTCTCAGGAGCCATGTGGGAGGCTCTCCAGGCTGACATCTTCCCTGTCCCCGAAGCTCAGTGATAACCATGGGCTGGTGGTTTGTGTTCCCCATTGAAGTTTCCCTCTGTGACCAGGTCACTGAGTACAGTTACCTCATTTTCTCTGTCTGAGTTTTTAACTAACTGAATTTAGTTATTTCAGAAATATTTATATATTTCAGTCTGTTTGGCTTCTTTCATTTGCTATTGCTTTAATGGTTCCTCTGTATTGTCATGGAATTTGTTTTTAACAATTCATACAAGGTCCTCTATGGAAACAGAGTATATATTATGAAGGGGTTGTATTAGATTACCTTGCAGAGTGTAGGCTGAGTAGTTCAACAGTGACCAGCTGCACTCTAGGCTGAGAACCAGCTGCTGTTCAGCCTATGAGGTTTGGTGACTCAGTTGTCCCAATCTGATGCTGAAGGCCCGATGACTTCGGGAGAGTGACTGGTCCTCAGTCTACATCAGAGGAAGATGGAAGAAGCAGTGAAGGATAGCAGCAGCAGTAGCAGCAACTGGACAGATGCACTCACCAGCAAGACGCAAAGGCAGGCAGGAAGAGCATGAGCATTGCTGTTTTTTGGACTTATTTGCATCGAGAGAGCCCTGGACCTCTCCATTAAATCCTCCTGGAAGTGCCCTCACAGAGCTTCCCAGAGGTGTGTCTTGTCATTGATTCCAGATTCTATAATGTTGACACTGAAGATTAATCATCACAATGGGACTGTATCATAATACGGTCGACACTCAAGCAGTGGGCGTTTGAGATGGTCTTAGTGTTTGCATATTATGACACAGGATGTGATAAGCATTTTTGTACAAGATTTCTGTTCACACAAATACATTTCTTTCGGGTCTTTTCCTAGGATTGAAAATGTGGGTAATTGGTCCGTCTTCAGTGTTACTGATGTGATGATGTATTGCAGCCTGTTGCACCCACACTCACCAGGAGTAAAGGAAAGTCCTTACTGTCCTTCCTCCAGTGTCTGGTGGTGTCCTGTTCTTGGTTTTAACTAGCTGGATGTGCGCTGTGGACCAAATGTCTGTGCCCTCCCTCAGGGTTGAAATCCTGACCTCCAAGTGGTGTTAGATGGTGGGGTCTTTGAAAGTAATAAGTCATGTGTTGGTGTAATGTTCTTTTGGAATATATACAATTTCCCCTTGTTCGTTCATCAAATGCTGATTTGTCTATCCCACTATCTGGTTTCAATCCAGACATTGCATTGTGATGCTTATTCTAAGCATCACCTGCTTCAAGTTTGTGTAAACATGCCACCATTTGTTCTCTATATTGCCAATTAAACAACCAGCCCCAAAGCTGAGCAATGGAGAGAATAGGGTGGGACATCCTGGCCCAAGAGGGGAGGAGAAGGAAGAGAGGAGGAGGGAGAAGTAGAGATCCTCAGGAGAGGTCTTGGAACCACGTGGAGAGACCGGACCGGACCTAAGATATAACTAAAAGCAAGTATAATGGGTGAAATCTGAATGGGAGGAAACTATGCAGCCTAGGATGGACTAACTATTGCCCATCATTGTGCTCTAGGTTAATTAAATAAACCCCAGTCTCTGTTTGGTGATTTGGGTATACAGCTGGATTAGAACAAACCGCTGATTAACTAAACTGCACATCGTTGAAGGAAGTCAGGACGGGAACTCAAGCTGGGCAGGAACGTGGAGACAGGAGCTGATACAGAGACCCTGAAGGAGTCTGTTGTTCCTTTGTTTTGTTTTGTTTTGATTTGATTTGTTTTTCTCCTCAAGGCTTACTCATTCTGCTTTCTAATAGAACCTAGGACTTCCTGACCAGGGTGGGTGGCTTCACCCACAATGGTCTAAGCTCTTTCTCATGAATCACTAATTAAGAAAATGCCCAACAGGCTTGCCTATAGCTCAATCTCATGGAGGCATTTTCTCATTCAAGGTTCCCTCCTCATGGACAGCTTCTGTCAAACTGACAAAAAAAATAGCCAGCCACAATTTTTTTTTTTTAATGATCAATATACCAGAGAGTTCTCCACCTTCTTGTCATATAAAGAGATAGCAGGAGGAAAGTTGGCTATGAACAGGAAGCACACACTCATCAGACAGTCTGCTGTCCTCACCTTGGTTTTGATACTTCTTCACTTTTGATGTAAGATAAACAAATAGTTCATTTTGTCCAGTGTATAGTATTTTATTTTGGCAGCCTCGCTGAGGGAGATGGTACCTATTGAGGCTTATTGGCGATGCCGAACACCTTTTCATGTTTGTTGGTCCTTGGGTTTCTTCAAGTCTTTCTTACTGATGCATAGGCGTTTTAAATTTGTTCATTATCTTTCCCAACTGCCTGTTTTTGGTGGTGTCTCTTCGCATTTTTAGTTCTGATGAAATGAAGGCTATCTCATCTTCCTGTTGCTCTTCTGAAGGTAACCCCTCCCCTCCTTGTTAGTAGCTTTTTAACATTGTGTGTGTGTGTGTGTGTGTGTGTGTGTGTGTGTGTGTGTGTGTGTCTTCCTGTGATGAAGTACAGGATTCCTTTCCCTGTTTTGGGCATTTCAGAGCATCCTGAATTTGCCAGTTGAGGTCTTTGTTGGGTTCTGGAATTTTCTCAGGCATTTCATCTTTAAGTATTGTTTCTGTCCTGATTTCTCCCTCTCCCTTTCTTTCTGAGACCCTGGTAAACCTGGTTTACAAAGCATTTGCTTTGTCACGTGCATCCTGCTTCCTTCTTTGTCTCCAGCCTCCTACCCACAGATGCTCAAGCCCAGATGTTTCATTTATCTGTTTTGTCATTCCTTTGTCTCTTTTCACCTCCTTTCCTCCCCTTCCTGCTCTCCCCCTTACTGTACCTTCTTTGCTCTCCTCCTCCCTCCCCCAGTGCTAGGGACTGAACTCGGAGCCTCACACACGTGCTAGGCTAGTACTTCTACTACTGAGATCACCCCAACTTATTCCTTTAAAAAAGAAAGACTTATTTTTATTCATGTGTATTTGTGGCCGGAAGAGAACATCAGATCTGGAGCTGGGCTACAGGTAGTTGTGAGCCACCTGAAGTGGGTGCTTGGAACTGAATTCCGGTCCCCTTAACTGCCATACCATCTCTCCAATCCTTTCTTTTTAATGGGCCTAGTTTTCTAGTTAATTATTCCTCTGTTTCTTTTATGTTTCTCTTGGATCAATGGAAACAATTACTTGAAAGTCCTTGTCTGAGAACTCCATGGTTTTCATTTTCTGTGGCTCTCTCCTTTTTACCGCCCCCACCTCATTTTCTGGTTGTTTGGTCTACTCTTGGCATTTTATTGAGTTCTGAATGATGCCTGTGACAAATGATAAAGGCCCCGTGTGGCCATGGCTTCCTGCACAGGGGCTCATACCTTACTAGGCAGAAGAGACCTTGATCCAGTCAAAACCTGCGCTGGCTTGATTAAGGTCGGTTTGCAGCTTTTGTAGTGTCCTCTCTGTCCCCCACCAAGCTATAGTTCCCTGAGGGTTTCCCAACAGAGCACTTACAGTGTTCTCTGCTCTGTCCCCACTAGCAAGCAGGTCCTCAGACCCGATCCTCACATAGTTGGTATCTAGACTGCCACCTGATGTCATTCTTCTTTTCAGAGAGTTTGAAAATTTGAATCTGAGCTAGAGATTTACTGCTTGCTATCCTAACCTTCCAGCCTGTGCAACTTCGGAGCTCAGAAACTGTCTCAATAGGTAACAGGGATGAGTGTTTGAGCAAGCCTTTCCTCCCCCTCAGTGTCCTGCTTTGTCTTCAGACGTCCTTTCATTCAGCCCAAAGCGTTGTTGGTTTTCTCTGGAGCCCCATCCTCACCACAGGAGGACTACAACCTGCAAATGACTAGAGGATAAAAGAAACTGTACTCTTCCGGTTTCACAACATGAGATTCAGCTGCCGTGATCTTGTTACCCAAACCGTTTCTGCTTTAGCAATTCCATGTTTCCCAGGAGATTTTTTTGAGCAGCTTTATTCAGATTTTATTATTTTTCTTGGCGTCCCTCTTGTTATTTTTATTGTATGTTTAAGGGTGTTTTTGCCTGCGTGTGTGTCTGTGCACTGCGTTCATGCAGTGCCTTTAGAGGCCAGAAGAGGGCGTCAGACCCCCCCCCCCCACCAGGAGTTACAGGTGGTACAAGGTGTTGGCTGTCAAACTCCAGCTTTAGCAAGAGCATCCAGTACTGCTGAGTCATCTCTTTGGCCCCAGCTTCCATGGGAGTTTTCTGATTTTTGTTCTGTTTTGTTCTGAGAGGATGGTAGGAGCCTGAAAATTGCCCTACCATATCCCATCTC